TATTAAAAGTTGCGATTTTCTAGGCTGATATGGCTAGGAACTATACTCTCATTCCGGTGTAATAATCAAGGAACTTTGCTGCCGTACCATGGGTGCAGCAGGCACAATGATATTACGCAGCGCCTGAAAATAGGCTAACTTCCTCCAACATAACCAACGTGACCACCTGCTTGCACGGAGCGTGCCTTCCATTGGAAGTTACCTAGCTGGGGACAATTTCAGGCGCTGCGAAATATCATTGGGTCTGCTGCACCCATGGTACGGCAGCAAAGTTCCTTGATTATTACACCGGAATGAGAGTATAGTTCCTAGCCATATCAGCCTAGAAAATCGCAACTTTTAATATTACGTCTGTACTACTTCCGTCTTAGTACACGATGTAACTACAGAAGAGTCAAGTTTTAAATAGAAAAAATATCGAAACTCTTTGGTCATTTTTGAGCAAGATGCTAATGGTCTAATCAGATTCAATTATCTATGCTAAGCTACGTCTAAAAGTGCTACCGCTAGACCCGGAGATCGGCTGAATGGATTCGAAAACTGTAAAACTCAACTGTTTAACTCTAGGGGAGTTGGAAAATTCGCTTATTTTCAAAAATAGTGGAGTGTTCCTTTAATGTAGTTTCCACGGAGTGCTGTATGATTTAAAAACTCTTTTTCTGATTAAAGTTATAAATGTTGCTGTTTTCTCAGGGAGCTTGTTTAGATGGGATAGAAACCAGGCTGAAATCCAATGCTTCTGGTTTATCACAATAACTCATTGAGCCTGGTTAATCATTCGTTATCATGAGCGCTGCTGAGACAGGAATGTCTCGATGCATCAACTGCAAGTGCTCTCACACATACAAACAAATGGGGCCCAGACACTGAGAGTACACAAGTTCAACACGGACATCTTCACCGCAGACAACCATGCTTTTCAAATTCTACACCCACTCAATCTCAGAATAGGCAAGGTGCATCTATTTGTATCTGCCTAAATGTTGAATAAAGTCTTACTTTTGACCATGCATTCTGAATACAAAATGTTGTGTTTTTAAAATAATGTGAAATATGTATGAGTGCACATGTATCCTACTGTGTAAGTGAGTTTGGATTAAGGATGTGATGAAAAAGAACTAAACCAACACTAACAGTGTAAAGTTCTGGATGGATTCACGGAGAACAGAATGTGTGTAGAAGCATTAAATAGGACACACATATAAATTGTGGTTTGGGGTATACAACTAAAAGTGTGATGGTGAATAGAACACTGAGCCATTGTTTCAGCTTTATTCTGTGGGGGAGGTATAAAAAAAACAAAGGACAAAGGTCTGGGTCAATGTATACAAATAGGAAAAAAGGAAAGTGGTTCTCGGCTTTATCAAATTTGAGAGAGGAAAAGTAAACAAAAACTTTGACGTCACAATAGCCTCTTTGTCTCATATGTACACAAATCCATTTTGATTTTGTACAAGATCACTCTTAAGAATGAGTTCCAATGTCCAGCATTCTTGTACCATGTATTTTTGCTCTCTGTTTAATTACCACACAATGGTTGTTCAGGATTGAATCAGTTTTTTTTAGGAAAGAACTTTCTCTGTAAACACTTCCAGTCATATAATTGTTTTTTACAGCACTAAGACACTGCAACTGTCAGCTTTTTATTTTATACAAGAATAAAATTCACTGCTTAGTCATATAAACAAGAAGACCCAGATGCAAGTGTCGAGCCTGTGCCACTCCAACTCAAGAACATCCATGCAGCTTAAGGTAGCTTAATATAACCACTTCCCTTGACAGGATAAAAATCCACAGAACCCAGTTTGGCAAGGAATGAAGTATCACTTCAACATCTCAAGCAGAAACAGGACTTGGGAGAGAAATAATAGCGTACACTGCAACAGTAGGGCAATGTTTTGCTATGCTCAAAAGAGAAACCGTGGGTAGGCCTACACGGTAATTGAGTTATCCATACAAACAAAGCTCAAATATATATCTAAGCAAGCTGTCTAAAGGCAGATTAGTAGAAGTTGTCCTTTGTTTTAGGCCAACAGAGAAAATACGTGCAGTCTAAATCCTACGGGCCACCTTCGAAGATCTGCTCTCGTGGTTTTCTTCCACTATAGCCTAACTTGCAGACTTTTTTCACATTGAATAAGACTGGCACATCATTAACCATATAAACCTACCATAAACCATTAAGCCTACTGAATCATATATGATATTCAAATTTCTAAGGCCTCTAGTTATCAACACGATCAAAACTTTGTACACAAACTTTTGTTCACAATCTACTAACTGCCTTCTGTTGTCTGATTGATCGTTTATTTTTTTAGCAAGTAAAAAGGCATTTTAGTATAATTCTAAATCTTCCCTCTTCTAAAAATGTCCCTCTTCAGGTTGTGATTCACTGGTATTTTTGCTGTGAAATTTTTACTGATTTTAATAAACTAAACATCCACTTACTGGACTGAAACAGCTTGTATTGCATTGCATTATACTGTATGTTTTGCCCTCCACAAAAAATCTACAGAGCTCTGATCATAAAACTAGCATTTAAATATCATCTTAAGTCTGACAACTGATATTTATATGCATTTTATGTAAGTAGTCTGCTATACTGTTATAAAGATCTAATTGATTTACATTGCAAGTTATCAGAATTCCATCTTACGTTTTGGCCATATACAGTGGGTACGGAAAGTATTCAGACCCCCTTAAATTTTTCACTCTTTTTTATATTGCAGCCATTTGCTAAAATCATTTAAGTTCATTTTTTTTCCTCATTAATGTACACACAGCACCCCATATTGACAGAAAAACACAGAATTGTTGACATTTTTGCAGATTTATTAAAAAAGAAAAACTGAAATATCACATGGTCCTAAATATTCAGACCCTTTGCTCAGTATTTAGTAGAAGCACCCTTTTGATCTAATAAAGCCATGAGTCTTTTCATATACATAACTGTACCAAATTGTATATTTTTCCTAGGTTTGGGCCTCTGAATAGAATTTAGGTGTTTGTTCCTCCTCGACTGTGAGCTCCATATTTTCCTATCAATAAACTGTTCCATTAAAAGAAAAGAAAAAAATACTTTATTTTTATTATTTGAAATGTAAAGCTTTACAGGGTTAATGTGCAGAACCACAGGAATTCATATCCAAAACCAAATACACTTTTACATAGTTTAAAGACTATCCAAAATATCTCCACACAAACATATTAGCTTTGGTTTGGTCAGTGTCCCTACATTGCTTCCGAATCATATTTACTTGTTATATCCAATTTCACAAATGTTTGCAATTATGGTTTAGATGTAAGAAAGTGTGTATTTCCTATTTGAAATCTAAATGATTTAGATAAAAGCTGAGCTTAGCATACTGTTTTGTGAGATGCTTACACATACTCCCGACAAGCAAACACTGTGCATATTTGTTGAGACCACTTACATACGCGTATACACTTTACATCAAGGATGAAACTAACAAAGTTTCTGCAACATTACAAGTTTTGTCATAGCAGGAACTACTTGTTTATGATTCGGGGCAATGCATCACAGTGAATAATATATATATATATATATATATATATATATATAGGTAAGTATAGGTAAAAAGTAGGTTATGACGGTGATATATATGTCACAGTGTCTGGTTGTGGTGCCCTGGACTGGCCACTTGAGGGCGCTCTCCTGTTTTTGTGTTCTATGTTGTGAACTCCATTTCCCATAGTCCCTTGTCTGTCATTCTGTCTGATCATTAGCACCTGTGTATTATTTCCGCTCATTATCACTTGTTAGTTATTTGCTCATTATCCCAGCTATATATACCTTGCTCACTCTGTCTGTCATTGCTGCTATTTTGTATTGTCTTCAGAGTTCGTAGTTGTCTCATGTTTGCGTTACGTTGTGTTTTCTGTTCCCTGTGTTTTGAATTTACCTTTTGCCTAGTTTTTGTTCTGTTTTGGATTATTTGTTATTTTAATAAACTTACTGCACTTGGACCTAATTTTGTTTTCTCCTGGCACTCCGTGACTATATATATATATATATATATATAGACAGTTAATGATAATGGACAGCTAAGGAAGACAGTTAATGTCTTTTTCAAGAAATAGCTTCACAACATTTGTCAGCAAAGAAGGTTAATTTTACTGGCAACTGACATGTTTGTTCTGTTGGATTGAAAGCATTTGTGCATACCAGCTGTTTAAGGCTAAATCTGGATTGCAAGTCATAATACTACTCAATCAAATAGTAGAAGGGCAGCTGATATCATCCAAGATATTGAACAGACAGGAAACACGGGACACACTGTGAAGGAGGATTTCAGCTACCACAAGTTGTCTTATATTTCACACATCTGTAAAAACAAAACAGAGTTCAAACAGACAGTCTTTAGTGGTGGTGCCAGCAGGGGCCAACACATTCTTTCCCAAACAGTGCAGTGCAGAACGTCTTTACTCCACTGGGCTGTGCTAGTGCCAGGATAAGTGCACTTTAGGTCTTCACCGCTTGGCCTCCATCCCATTGCACATGCATTGACGTCTGCTCAGTAAAGCCAAAAAAGGGCAGACCTGTCCAACAGTAGCTCACTCACCCAAGGCAAGAGTCTGCGATTTCATACTAGACTTAGTGACTAGAAACTAGTAAACTCAGTACAGTATATGACCTTATATATACAACATCAGCATAGCCAGCTCAGTAATACAGGTGTGACACACACCACATGATCTTGAAAACACAGCTTGAATGTTTAAGCAATGGTTACATGACTTAATGAAGTGCTGTGACAGATGACCATATATAAATGAGTTTTGAACACCATTAAAATGCTTCAGTCCCGTCTTTACCAATATTTCACTTTTCTACTTTATCAGTTCTTTAATAAAAATAAGTGCCACAAAATTAGTAAGTCTCTACAGAATCAACCCGAGACATATAACTGTGATAATTTAGATCACAAAACAGCATAAATAGCCAATATTGGTATAAATAAGAATAATAATGAAATTAAAATATATATTTTTGTAGTCTTGAGATAATATAAATATATCTCTAAATCAGTTCATTTACAAATAAAGGACATTTTGGTATACATGACAAAACATTTTTCAGTGTATTATTTTATTACTGACAATGTTAATATGATGACAATTATTAAATGATCAACTCTGACCTGTTGTTGCTAAAATGAAAACTTACCTGTGTCTACTGGTCACCTTAGATCCAGTCTGTGCAGCTGATACAGAATGACTCTCATCCACATGTTGAGCGTATCGTGTCGCGTACGTTCCTGCTCCCCAGATATCTCCAGGCAAAATCAGCACCAATAGGGTCAATAAGTAAACAAAATATAGTTCCATGACTTACAAGTAAAAACAGATTTTAAAAAAACGATCGTTAGAAAAAGTACATCCAACAGCTTCAACGTAATAAATGCGCCTAGTGCGGACCGAGTGCAGTCCAACAGCCTTGCTAACTCTCCACTGATGTGTACTTCATAAAGTTCCGTGTAAGTGTTGTTTATGCACCTTTGTCATCATTTCGCCAAGTGTCCACTGATTTTAAAAGATGCCGTCAGTTTACCCATGACACACGGTCAAACACTAATGAGAAGCATCCGGTTTTTTTCTTTATCGTCTGCGCAGTCATAATGTGAAAACTGCCTTGAAATGATGGGGATCCAAGACTCCCGTGCTCCCTTCCCCTCCTTCTTCTCTACCCAAACCCC